AACTAACTCATAAATCAAGGAAACATAAAAAACTTTTGGTAATCCATAATTTGAGGACAAGTTATGGACTCCTTACAATTTCATTGAGATCAAGAATTATAATAACAAACAATTTGCACATAATTCCTATGATCTACCAAAACTCATAAGCATGAACATTCACAATCAACAATTTTCAAGAATTACATAAACATATATAAACTTGAAACTTTGATTATAGCATTGAAATTGGTTTAACATAATCATTACCACATTAAAAACAGGTTTTATAAGACCAAAACAGTCAAAGGTAATGATTCTAGACCAATTCCAGCACCAAAACTCGAAGATATGCTGTTTGGGGGGTCCAACTCGTCGAGTGCACGAACCAACTCGGCGAGTTGGATGCATTTTGTCTTGGACTCGTCGAGTCCTCTGTTCAGACAGCACAAAACTTCGATTTTTAAGCAGTTTGCATCAAGTATAAGTGAAAACAAGCCTAGGCTCTGATACCACTGTTGGGTTTGAGCATTCTAACACTCCTATAGTGTACATGCAACCCTAAATACCTTGGATCTATGTTTTCTCTATTATACATGCAAATATCAATTTCCAAGGTATTTATCCTAACTAGCATATTATGAAGTACAAGTAATATAAAAACTAGTAGAAATATATACCTCTTTGTTGGTGCTTGATTCCATGGAGCTCAAGAGCCTAGTACCCCAAATGTGACACCTCAAATGGTTTACACAACATCATATGCACTTGGAATAACTTAGAGAGAAAGTAGAACACTTCATGAAATCGGTTTGCCCTCTTCATGCATACATGGTGGCCGATTTTTGCACAAATAAGATGCTTATATAGTTGTTACAATTAGGGTAAACCCTAATTGTCATGGCTTTCCATTTCCTTGGATCCATGGGTTCAAATACACCATGAAGCATCTTAATGGGTTTTAGCCCAACTTGATAATCCATGGAGCATTAGCCCACTATATAAGTATGGATGATTTACACAATCAACCCATATATTTAATTAGTCTTCTTTTGATCACTTAATTAATTCTAGATTAATTCTTGATCAATACTAATTAAATAATCTTATTAATATATTAGAACTTATAATATATTAATAAACCTTAAGTGTTATTTCTCTCATTTTAGTCTATCCAAATGCATGATGCCATGCAACCCAAATGGACCATGCCGGGTCGGGTCAAGTATATACCAATTATAGTTATGGACTTGGACACTAATCCAACACTTAGAACGTCCTTACACTCTAGAGAAACTTGTGATACCATTTTGAGCTTTAAAGAGTGCATTTGTGGCCTTCTAGTGTTCATTCCAAGAAGAAGAGGTGGTCAAGCAAGCTTGGAACAAGTTGGTGCTTCAAGAACCTGCATTTTAGTCATCTTGCAAAGCTATTGGAGGTAAAAAGCTTGGATATTTCTTCTTTAATCTTTAGATCTAGCTAGGGTTTTCATATTTGTCCCTTTTGGTTGATTTTGGACCTCCATTGGTGAGTTAAGCAACTCCAAAGGATGGAAATGACAGATCTGAGGTCCGTTAGTCCTTTTTCAACATAAATATGGAGTCTTGATGGGTATTTTGACCTCATGCATGGGCTAAGAGCTTTGAAAATGTCTTAATGAGGGTTTTGGGAGCATTTGAGACATGCAAAGGCATAAAGTTGCCAACTTTATGCCTTAGGTCGTCTTAATAGGGTTGGATCTGACTTCTGGACGTAAAAGAATCAAGTATTAAGCACTTAATGGAAAAAGTGCTTAATCGGTTAGTACGCTGGGCGTACCCCAGTGTACGCTGCGCGTAAGTCCTAGAACCCCAGTACGCTGCGCGTACCAGGATGGTACGCTAAGCGTACGCACCACAGTTGGGCCGAATCCGTTTTGGGCCTTGAGCTATTTGGGCCTCATTTGATTATTGGGCATGGGGGTATTCTGAGAATTATGAGTCATATCATCTATTATGGGCCATGGACATATTGATTGGGCCTTATTGGGTCAAGAGGCCAGTTAGGGATTTTGGACTTGGACTTTGGGCCCATCAGCAAGGGATGGATAATTGGGCCTTTGGGAAGGGTTTGGAATTTGGGTTTCCTTTGGCTAGTTAAAGTCCTAACATTGTTTAAAATTATTATTCAACGCGGGAGGTTACAGACTGTTGGGAGAACAGCTTTGTATTCGGCAGACTGAGGTGAGTCTCCTCACCATACCAATGGGTCTAAGGCACCAAGACCGGCCCATTTTATGATGTGTAGTATTCTAGCTGAGGTTATGTTATGTGACATGATAATTGATATGAACTAGGAAATATGCTTTGATATATGTGATATGTTGTATGGAAGACCATGGGAGAGCCCATGACACTCGGATGTAAGAACATGTGGAGAGCCCATGGCTTTCCTATCAAAGACCATGGGAGAGCCCATGGCACTTAGGTGTAAGACCATGCGGAGAGCCCATGACATCCTGGAGTAAGACCTTGGGGACGAGCCCACAACATCCTTATTAGTTGTATGCATGACTTATGTGGTGTATGTAGCCTTAGGGCTAACATGATATGTGATAATTGGATTGTATGTGTGGTATGCTCTGGGGAAGTCACTAAGCATTCGTTTACAGTTTGTGGAATTGTTTCAGGTACATCTGAGCCCAAGGGCAAGGGCAAGGCGTGATGGCGCGGCGTGCACTCTATCTCACTTTTACTGATATGTTTTTGGGGACATTATGATGAATTAAATAAGTTGTAATGAATACTGATTTGAAAACTGTTGTGCTGGGATTTCATGGATTATGCAAGTGTGTTTTATTAATTAAAAACGAAAATTTCTTTGAAAATTTTGGGTCGTTACAACCGTCTTCTTCAATAAGATGATACTTCTCGGAGACTTTGACCAACGATCCGCAGAAACAATAGAATGAAAAACAGGCATAGAGAATCGCGACATTTTTTTCGTAAGAAAAACACAACAACAATGGCAAGAAGAAGCAAATGGAAGGAGAAAGGGGCAATAAACTATCAGATGGGTATTAATAAAGGCAAAAGGGTAGGAATGCATCTTCCGGACAAACTAGTAACTGTCTGCATGGTTACGCGAGCACACAAGCGTGTGTAGCTTACGATAAATTGTTCACTACCTAAGGTTAATGATATTTAAATCCCAGTTATCAAAACCTGCTATGAACCAACCTTTAACAATTGGATTAGATGCTTAATGGTGTATAATGTTAGCTCATACATAAAGGCCAAGTATGCACCTGGTAGAGCAACATCCTAAATTAAATAATATTTGAGAAAGTACTCATGCGATATCCTGGGAAACATGAATAAAGCTCCAATATTTTATTAAATGATACTACCCTTATAACCACAAGACAACAACATCATCTGTGTAACAACAACAACAAAGAGTCCTTCATCCATATAAAGTTACATTCGTGCAAACCGGTAAAAATCATCAACACTCTCAAATTCTTTACATATGCAATATCCATCTCCGATATTTAACTTAGGCATCAGAGACTAATAGTGGGGTTTCACCCTCGGTAGTGCTTCCTGGCTTAGTGTCTATCTATTTTGCAGTGTAACTTCCTTCATAAGCCCCATTGGAGAAGACCACCCACATACCAACAACCCTCCGGGAAGTGACATAGCATCATATAGTTTCATATCATTTCTTTTTAACTTTAGTGTGTGGTTGATTCATCTTGACTTTCTTATCAAATATTAGGTTATATACAATGATGTTAACATTTTCAATGAATTGTTAAATTTAATTTAAAGAAATCTTATGGTTATTGTTTTTAATAGAAATTTGGAAAAAGATAGAAGTTGAAGGTGCGAATGGCCATTAGGCTTAGTGTGGGATAACATGACTCAACACTCACTTTATTTAAGCATTAGAAACCTACTCTACTTACTTTTAAACCCAACTTTAACCATGATTGGCACTCATCCTCATTAGTTTACTATATATTCCAAAATTTTGTAATTTGTAAGGTCGATATAAAATATTGTTTGAAAAATACTCACGTTTCTGATAACATGATTATGAAGAAATAAGTATGATGGTCCCATAAATTAAGACGGTGCTGTTTCATCTAATAAGCTCAATAGAGAGGCGACATGTAAGGCATAAAGATTCATTGTTTACATTAATTATTCTTCCAATAACATCAATATTAAATTATTCAATTACATTTAGATGGAAACAAAACAAACAAGTTCTATTTGGTAATCTTTTATGGATTGCAAAACTAATTCTTTCAAAAATATGTCCATAAATCTTGGGGTCATAAAACTACATTGAATGACACGTTGGGCTCTATTCTGGTGCTAAGAAACCAAAAGTATCCAACCAAAAATAATATAAACGTATGTTGATTATCCATACATGGTTTCGACTTTGTATATGGGGAAGGTTTATGCATATGGGATATGAGTGTCTTGAGATAAGTAGCGTCAAACTGTGGGTAACATCGAACACTTGTTTCCCTCAAAAACTTAAGATGAGTAGATGATATATATGTTGATAGTTATACCTCCAAAAATGACTGCACCACATTGATGTCCTACAACATGTTCGTTAACATGTGAACGAAAACAAAGGGATAGTAAGTAAAGTGAACCGTAAGACATAGACCTGAGTTAAGTTCCTAATACATCCATACAAATATCATAACCTGCAAATAATGCAAACAAGGAAAAAATAAGTCACTGTGAACAGATAAACATGAAGATGAATAAATCATAATACAATCATATTAAAGGGTATCAACAATAAAGATGATAAAAAGAAACGCAGAAAGTGAATAGGGAATACACCGTACAAACTTGAGGGTGTTGGTGGTGATGTTTTTTAATGTATAGGGTCCAATAAAATAAATCATAAACTTGAGTGGTCTAATTAGAATATTCGCTACTTTAAACACCGGGGACCGTTGGTTACTACAAGCTTACTGCCGGCGCCAAATATTCGTCTTCTTCCCTCTCTTAAAAACTCCTGCAAACATCAGTCGATTTCCGAACTCTCAAACTCCATCCACCTCTTCATCAGAGCTCTACTTCTTCACTCCCGGCTGTTCGCCTGAGTATTTTTGTGTTTATTTGACTAATCTGTCTTCTCTGATGGCAGAGGGAATAAATGGATTTTCATCGCCAAGAGCGGACGTTTTTCCGGCAGGACTTCGTGTCCTTGTCGTCGATGATGATCCTACTTGGTTGAAAATTCTAGAGAAGATGCTCAAGAAGTGCTCTTATGAAGGTCTGTTTGTATTTCATCAGCAATTGTTTTTTTTTTTTTTTTTGGTTCAATATGATTCGTTTTCGTTCATGTATACATTTGTTCGACTGAATTTGCATGAGGGTTTGTTTTTTATGTACATAACATTACAAATCATCTAAATCAAGCAGAAATACCAGTTTTACTGATTCATACCTGTCATCAAAGTTAAGCTTTGGGTGAATATCGATATCAGGTAAGCTCTGAGATTTGGGGTGTTACTAGAGAAGGCCATGAATGAGTTTAGCTTTTTTCAAGCAAGATCATTTTTTCAGTTGTGAAGTAGGAAGCCTTGGGCATATACAAAATCACCCCCTGTTACATAGTTTGATTGTTCTTTATGAGGTCTATACTTTATACAGAGAGCCTGGTTAATTCATGATCCAAGTAGAAGACATTGTTAAACAATGGCATGGAGAAGATGATTGATTGATTGATTGTTGTTGTTGTTGTTTCAGTTACTACATGTGGACTAGCAATAGAGGCTCTGGATCTGCTTCGTGAAAGAAAAGATGGGTTTGACATTGTAATTAGTGATGTCAACATGCCTGACATGGATGGTTTCAAGCTTTTGGAGCATGTTGGACTTGAAATGGAGCTTCCTGTCATTAGTCAGTCTCTTTCTTCCCCAATATATTTATATCCCAGTTTTATATGCATATATTAAAAACCAGAACTGATTATTTCTATGCAGTGATGTCTGTTGATGGGGAAACAAGCAGAGTGATGAGAGGTGTCCAACATGGTGCTTGTGATTATCTTCTGAAGCCAATTCGAATGAAGGAACTAAGAAACATATGGCAACATGTTTACAGAAAGAAGATACATGAGGTGAGAGATAGTGAAAGCCATGAATGCCTTGAAGAGATTCTGATGATGAGAAATGTATCGGAACAATCTGATGATGGCTACTTGCTTTCTGGGGGTGGTGACATAACACCAGGTAAGAAAAGAAAAGACGCTGAACATAACAATTACAATGACAAAGACTTCATTGACCATTCTTCAATCAAGAAAGCAAGAGTTGTATGGACAGTTGACCTTCATCAGAAGTTTGTCAAAGCTGTCAATCATATCGGTTTTGAAAGTGAGTCATCAATCATCATAGCACATACTTTTCTTGAATTCACTTCTCATACTTCTTCTGATCATTTGATATAAAAACGTTTGTTTTTTCATGACAGAAGTGGGTCCCAAGAAAATACTTGACCTAATGAACGTGCCATGGTTAACAAGAGAGAATGTTGCAAGCCACTTGCAGGTATTTCTTTAACTCTGGGCTATCGGTTTAAGATCTTATCCAGTTCTCTCATAAAGTTTCTTAAAATAGTGCAGAAATATCGTCTCTACTTAACTAGGTTACAAAAAGATGATCTTAAAAGTACAGATTCTATAAAGATGCAACAAAATGAAGGCGTCCAGAATACCAATTCCAGAATCCATGAAGTTGATCTCAAAACCACCACCACCACCACTTCATTGCAGACAATAGAATCCAAGAAAGTATTAACCGGTTATGCAGCCAAGGGTCATCACAACAAGGCCAGCAGTTCAAACATTGGGATCGGAATCGGAAACAACCACTCCTTCCGGTCAACTCAGTACCCGACATTTAACTCAGTGTTGCCAACTCAGTACTCTTGGGATGGAGGTTTCACAGAAATTCAGTTCAAACAAGAACACAGCAACCAACACTTTGAGGTGGAAAATGGGTTGGGACTACTATTGCCTACTACTACTGTACTCCAACAACACAACCAAGAAAGAGGCAAACGAGTAGTAGCGAATTCAAGCAGTGGAATCAAGTCATCTTTTGGCTCCTCCTCCTCCTACATTAACATTATGCCAACTTTCCAACCTCCAGATCCATGGAGCCTGAAAGATGATCAACAAACTTCCATTAATAATCTTGATTTATCTTCTATTCTGCTTCAAGGTCAACAACTTTCCTCCTCAACAAATCTTGATATACAACAAAAGAAAGGAGTAGCCGAGTATAACGATCCAGAGTTCCCTCCAAGCTTATATGATGCACTAAGATTCGACTATGAATATGAATACCCTCCTGACTCATTGGAATATCCAGTAATAGATCAAGGCCTATTCATAGTTTGACATCATCTCATTCTCATCTCATTTAAAAAAAATGATATATATGGATCCTCTTTGGCAAGAATTTGAGGCGTCCTACAATGGACAAAAACAAGAGGCTATTTTGTTTGGGTACATACATTTTTCCTTTGCAACAACACATTAGATAGAAACTTGTTTTAATAGAATAATAATAACAATACACTTTATAACTTGCATACAAAAAATTATTACAGCATCTTAAATGATGTTGAAAGAAGCAATCAACAACAACTTTCAACATTGTTTCTTTGACATAAAGACTGATGATGATGAATCATTCTTCTTCTTGGTTGTCAAAAAAGCCATTGAACTACTTAGTTTTTTTTTATTTATTTCTATATAATTCTTTGGCTTTGAAGGAGATTGACAACAAGTGTCCTTATGTACTAATCTTGGAGTCGGCTTCCTTCCAAGCTTTGGTGAGCAAGGTTGCATTTGTGGAACCTGCATGATTTTTAAAATATGGTTTTTTACTGATTAAATAATAAGTTTTTACTTTATTGATAATTTGATTACCTTCTGAATGCTACTACTTCTTATCACTTTTGTTTCATTTGCAAATGTTTTTGCTTCCAAAGCAGTGCTCCTTCGCAACTTTTTATTGTCATTCGTAGTCTGTACAAGAATATGGATGGAATCTTTATCATAACCAAAAGGTTATATCAGACATTTCACAAACTATGTATCGAGTAGAATGTAGCAAACCTTCAGTTTAGGTTGAAGATGAATCTTTTCTGTCTCCTTCTTGTTGCCCTTTTCTTCTAGCTTCTGAAAGAACTGTAGTGAGAGAAGCAAGAAAACATCAACAAACATAACAAGAAAAAAACATCAAGAACCTAAATTTGGTTATCTTTATCTTTACCTCTTTACGTTTTGCTGCACGTTCTTCACTTCTGAAGCTAAATGATGAAGGCACAGTAGAAGAAGAAGAAGAAGAAGATTTTGGTTTCTTTGTACATACACTAGAATGGAAGACACAATATTTTTTAGAGACATTATTAGGGTATATATCATTTACAGGGATAAAAAATTAAAAATCCAAGAACCTCATTGGTTTTGTTCCATAAAAATTACCTTTTGTTTTCTGGTGGTGGGAGGACCTGAGAAGCTTTCCTTACCCCGTTGATAGACACCTGGGAATCAAAACAGATGATTCAAATGTGATAATAATAATTAAAAATAAATAATGAAAATTCAAGAAAAGAAAGCTGAAGGTTACCTTTAGGTTTAAAGGTTGCTTAATAAGTCTATCTTTAGGTTTACTTATAGTTTTTAAGATCCTATTTTTAATTCCAGCAGGGGGAAAGTTCATTGACATATGCAGAGATTGTAAAACTGATCTCTTTTTCTCTGTTACATCATTTGCAGCCTTTTTGGGACGAATTGGAGGAGTTGGTGTTTTTCTAGAAGTTTCCTTCTTACTCAAAGAAATTTCAGAACCTTTTTTTATCTTATTTTTATGTTTCTCTAATGAAATATTTTCGCTTGATACTTTCCCTTGTTCCACTTCCACCTGGCAGCGGCTACTTGCCATGTCATCCTCAACATTTCCAAATTGTTCTAGAACTAGGTTAGTACTAGGTGAGCAAACATCTTTACATGATGCTATTTCTATATCTTGTTCATGGATATGTTGTGAGAAAGCTGGAATAGTAGTAGTAAGAGTAATTGGTTTTGATGACTCGTTTTCTTGTGGTTCATCAATGGGTGAAAGGGTATCGGATCTTGTAGGAGAAATGTTGGTTTGAGGGGAGTGATTAGGAGGTTTGTTTTCTTTTTGAGGTGATTTTGTTTTTGTGGCTTTTTTGGATGCGATTTTCTTGTAATGTGCTTCAAAGAAAGCTTTCTTTTCAGCAACAGCACCGGGTCGGGAGTGTTTTTGAACATCTTCTAGGGTTCGATTGTGAGAAAACGAAGACCATTTTTCCCAATCTAATGGTTCAGTCATGAATCGACCAAATGAAATTGATGTGGTTAGGGCTCGTAGAGGGTCACCCTGTGGCACATAAAAAGAACCATATAAACCCTAGAAACACGTTATATAATTACGGTTTTCTTTAAAACCCAAGGAAACAGATTAAAGTTGGGGTTTTGAACAAGAAACAGATTAAAGTCTTGACAAAAACCAAGTAATTTCAAGAAAACAAGAAACAAACTAGTGGTGGAACTTCAATTTTGGTGACAACAACACAAAATCAAAACCCTAATCGCGTACATATCAAAATGAAAAGCCCTGGAAGTAAAAATCATACAAACTCTAGAAAGCAGAAACAGATTAAAGTTGGGGTTTTGAACAAGCTGACAAAGCGTATACATACATAATCGTGACAACAATGAAGAGTTTTGAAAAAAAAAAAAACGAGATGAATGTTATTGCTAAAACTTCAATAATTAAAATCGAATTTGGATTCAATTGGAGAGCATATAAAAATTGAAAAACAGTGCAATTGGAGAGCATATAAACCCTAGCAACAGATTAGAAATTAGGGTTCTTTATATCATATTCTTGAACTAACTAACCTCTTTGTATTCGCAAGAAGCGAAGAGAGGTTGTGAAACTGAACGCATCAAGCAAGGAGCTGCTTCACCCATTTCCACAGATGTAGAGAGAGAAAGTAAACCCTAGTAAAAGAAAAAGAAAGAAAGAAAAAACCTTGTTTCTGTGTTTGTAAATCTTGGGTCTAATTAATCCTTGAAATTTGAAGCTTTAAATGGATTGGTTTTTATATTCTGGTTAAGAACACTGTGATATGAAGCTGATGGACATTTCCCCAACGTCTAGTTTTAATTTTCTGGGTTATTTTTCGGCTTAATTTAAATGTGGGCCCCACACCTAACACAACGCCCAACGGCTATATCTCTGTCGCACATCATAGAATGTGAAAATTTTTACTCTTGTTTTTAACTTTTTTTAATGTACATCATATAAGTTTTGCTATGCATTGATGATCTATATTAATTTAACCTTTTATTAAGGAAAAATATATATTTATGTCATGTATTTCAATAATTTCCTTTTTTGTAAATTTGTTAGTAATTCAAATTAATCCAATCAATTTATTAAAAAATATTTCCATTTATAATTAACTTTTATTATTATTATTCAAAAGATTAGAAAAAGTGTATACATTTTATAAGCTATGATTTTATTATATTTTTATTTTATGATCATCCAAAAATATAAAAATATGTGTTTTTCTTTGCTAATTGAAACATAATTTTTTATTTATAAATTTTGGTTGAAATGGAGGCACAATGAAGTTTTTCGTATGGTTTAAAAATGTCCTTAAAGTAAATTTTGTATCTCAGACCTCATTAAAGTGGAAAACTACCTGTCATTTACATCCTTTTGGAAGAAGCAAAGCGATCACTCGGTAATTTACTGTGACGTGGACTTTTGACCTCATATTTCTTCAATTAAATGACAGTTAACAATAACACATCGTCTTTTGTTTTAAAATAACTGTTCGAAAAACCTCCCATTGCATAATCATTTCTACAAATCGTTTTCCAAAATCGTTGAAGAGCATTAGAGTAGAAGAATCTAAGGTTTTCTCCCCCAACTCGAGTAAGTTATCTTTCATCTTAGGGAGTAAGTTATCTTTCATCTTAGGTTCTTTTGAAGTAAGATTATTGGTAGAGGTGAAGTGCATGGCTAACGAAAACCCTGATCCTATTTATTTGAAAGTGCGTTTGCATTATAATGGTGTTTTCACAAGACACCCACATAGATATATTGGAGGTGATATGTTCATGTTTATGGATCATGATTTTGTTGAAATGCATCTTGAGGTGTGTTTCACCTTTCAAGAAAGGTTTACCGGAGAACCTTTTGAGAAACTTTACTACTTAGCACGTAATGAAAGTTTGGAAAATGGTCTTAGGGTAATAGCTAACGAGTTTGACTATGTTATTTTTATGGATGCAACTTATCAAGCCACAAAATGCCAATATACCTATATTTAGATCATACTTGGGATGGATTTGAGGACTGGTTGGACGAAGAAAGTGATGAAAGTGGTTCAGTGATCCAAGGGGATGACAAAGAACCTTCACTCCCGATCCTGAATGTAACATCCCAAAAATCATGACCACAAATTTCATTTTTAAATCATTAAATAAACCATAGTTACTAGAAATCATTTATCAAAACAAGAACCATAATATCTCGAAACATCAAAATCAGTATATTCATATCAAAACTCATGTCAAATATATATATCAGAGTAATCATCCCAGGCTAAACATAATGGTGTATTGTCACAACTAGCAAATTTAGGGTTGAGATGGTAATCTTGGTACAAAAATTTCCTCTATGTAACCTTATTTCACTAACTATTGAAGTCCAAAACAACAATGTCATATGAACACATATGAATCAAGTAGTAATAACCTCATGCAAGCCCAAAACTTAATCCAATAGCTAACCCCAATCAATTTTGGACCTTGACCCAAGAATTCTCAGCTCAAACATTGTATGGGTAATTTGGGAGTACTTACTTGAGCTCGGCTGATTGCATGCACCACACCCTTTTCTCTTTTTAAAATTCTTTTCAAAATTCTTTTTATAAAAATGATTTTCAATTGAAAATTTTCATACCAAGTCCTCAGTTTGAGTCTATACATACCCAAAAATGTGCCCGAATCCTTCAAACCAAAGCTCTGATACCAACTTGAAACATCCCAAAAATACGGTCCAAAATTTTCGTTTTAATTTATAAATGAAACCATAGTAATCCAAATCATCTCATAAAAACATAAGTGATAATATCTCAAAAAATCATATCAAAACGCTGTATCAAAATCACATGTCCAAATATCAGAGTAAATCATCCCAGGCTGAACGCTGTGGTGTGTACCATGCAGTGATCCCGAGCTCTTCCCCTTACTAGCGGAAGTACCTGAAACCAAAACTGAAACAGTAAGCACGAAGCTTAGTGAGTCTCCCCAAACTACCACATACCATACACATAATCACATAA